GAGAGAGAGAGAGAGATAGGGAGGGAGAAAGAAAGAGAGTGCAACTGTGTGTCTGTCTAAATGCCTTCTACTGGACTCAAAATTAGCCCTACAAGGCTCTACCTTTCTATTATTTTCCCATTTCTGACAGATAAAAACAACAAATTGGCAATTAGAGGACAGCCCCAGATGCTCAGTGGTCTCAGGTTCTCCCTAAATTAAAGCAAACAACATGTTACTGCACCCTTTGCATCTGATGTTCCTGAAAGAGGTATTCGTTATCAGGTCTTTGAAGTTAACATGAACTCGGATCTATTTGACATGTCTCTCTGTGACGAATTCCTTATCACTGGATCTCATTTCCTTCCTTATTTTCTTTACTGGCACCACTCATAGGTCAAAGGTCATCGCGCTTTGTTCACTTCATAGATCCTTGCACCATGCAAATGATTTGAATTTCATACCTGGTTTTTCTTTAAAAACACTCAACTCTCTTGTTTCATTTGGTGCGCTAAACCTGCTTTTTTCACATCTATGCAAAGAAAACATTCTTACAAATAAAATAGTAATCTTCAATGCAGATTCTGCACCTACAGATCAGGCTTAAGGCAGTGCCCCCCTCTGCAGTGACTGACAGGGATTGGGAAGTTCTCTGAGGGTATGGTAGAAGATTTACCCTGCCCCGACATCCTGTTAATGCCCCACCACAGGCTGTCACAACAGGGGAGCTCGCTTTGCTGTCCTTCCAACCCCTCCCTCCCTCTCCACCAGAGTCTCACCCATCTTTCCATTTTTATTGTGTTTTTACAAATCACGCTTCTCTGTGGGAAGCCAGGCCTGAAATTCTGCCCAGCATGGAAAAAAAAAAAAAAACAACGATGGGAGGGAGCAGGTTAGTGAAGGTTATTGAAGGAAAAGGTGGGAAGGAGGTGAGAGGATGAACGCTGTGCTCAGAGAGGAACATAGCACATCATTTCCTCTAATGAGCTCTCTTAATGACTCTCTCGGAGAGTCTCTGTTTTATGTTCTGGGTCATAGTGCCCTTGAGCAACGCACAAAAAATATATTTTCTCACTTACCCCTAATGGCCTTCAGTAAAGCAGGTTGACATTCAATACTTTGTATTAGTTGCTTTTGTGATGGCAAAAAAACAGAAACATCACATAACACTGAGACAGGAAACTAGAAGTGTTTGCTGAGGTTTTTAGATACTCCTCTTTCCGATTTGTGTGCCCACTAAATACAGTGCAGGTGAATGGAATTTAGTTTGTGCTGCTCTTAAAAGAGTTGATTTAGTGTTGCATTTCGCTGTCAGAACCAGGATGGACAGTTTTTAAAGGATAAAAAAATTTATTTCACACAGTCTTCGTCCTTATTAATACCTGGCACCTACATCACCCACAATGCAACTTGATTGCCAACACTTCTCTCAGATTTTGGTGTGTTATGCTCATAGCAGCTAATTTAGCCTCAAGCTGCTAGCCTCCAACAGAGATGAGAAGCGGGTTCTACATATGCAGTATCCACAAGACCTGTCATCAGACTTTGACATGTAAAATTATATCAATTACTCAAAGTAAAACAGACCTCACTGAGTACATTTTTCATTGGAAGTGCTTTCTGAGAATTGACATGACAGCTGATATTGGAAAATGGGTCGCCAAAAAGCTTTGCATTCATGAACTAAATCTTAACCTGGAAGACACACAATAAGCTAACATGGGAAGTGTGAAAAGAATAATATAAATTTGGTATTTTTTGTTGTATTAATTTGGTTGCTGCTTGATAACTGACTACCTAAATATGTCAATAAGAAGAGTCCCTGCTCCAAACTACAGTACACAGCACACAACAATGACATGCCTAAGTCTTTGCAGATTGCTTATTATATTGAAAACATTACATTCATAGAAAGCTGTAAACACATCAAGAGCACAAGTGGAAAATTAACATCTGTAAAACATACTATAATACTACTAACTATTTAAAATTTGACACAGGAGCATAGGGTTGACCATACTGCCCCATTTCTTCCATGTACAGTAGTAGTAATAGTCTTTCTCTCATATCTCCTCTTTTATACACTCAACTTAATTTCATCATGAACTAACACACTGCCAATAAAGATTCAAATAACGTGATGTAAGATCATATATACTGTGAGTGGGCATGGTGAGAGAGATATGGTGTCTATATGTGGAAGAGGAAGGCACTGTATGGAAACTTGAGGAGACATTGTGGAAATCGGAACAAGATGTTAAAAAGAAGAAGCAGAGATGAAAAACAGTAGATTC